ACCTTTGTCAAACATCTGTCCCCTCGCCGTTCACAGCGCACCAAAATAGTCAACGGAGTATATCGACCGGTGCCACGCCATTGATCGCTCCCATTTTAGGAGAATGTGGTCTACTGGGTTGCGCCAAAGATGTCAAAGCAGGCATTGCATGGAGCTACTGCCAAAAATGCTATCACCCCAGCTGCGCGAACCTATCGAACAAGCGTGTCAAACAAATGGCTGCACAACCAAATTGTTCATGGTTTTGCACTGATTGTATACATGTTCCTATAGTGAGGTGTATAACAGGCCTAACAAATAAGTATGACAAACTATTATTAGAGCTTGAGGAAAGAGCCAGTGCCAAAATTTCGGCGTTCGAGGATAAAATAGCCGCTTTGAGTACCCCAGTCCCTCCGACCAGCCCGATTTANCGATTTAACGGTCACCTAAGCTTCCAAGGTGCTCCACAAACAGCACCATTCCTGTACAACGTACGTAGGAAATCGATGCAAACAATGCACCAACCGCAACAAAAGAAATAACCATTGACCCAGAGCCGAAGGATATCATTAGATCATTTAATCCTAGCAAACCGTCAGTAGGTTGCAAGAAAGGCTTTAGGAACATCACCTCAGTTATCTGCACGAATTTACCAGAGCCGACAACCCAAACACTGAGGGAAAGGCAAGAAGAAGATCTTGGTCATTGGAAAGGTGTGAGCACTCTGATGGGNATTGATGTCCAACCTGTGAGCATCACAAGCCTTGTGCGCCAGACATTCGCCACACGCAGGAGAACCCAGGTTAGTACGAGTTACACTGAAGAGTGAAACAGACGTTGAGAAGGTCCTTCTTTCGAGTTATGTCTTAAGAAACAGCTCCACACGAATTTTCTCTGATAGACCATGGGCGGAGCGCGTGCAACACCAGAACAATCCAAAGAGTGCACGGGAGGTAGAGAACAAAAGGGTTGTTCTCATTCATGGGGTCCCACAACGATGAGTGCAAATGCTTTTACAACGACTATAAGGAATGGTGTTTCATTAAAGACCTGATAAGCTGCCAAGATGTTTTTACCACATCAATCAGTCGTCTCACCTTTTCACCAAATTACCGCGATAATGGCCCGAAGATAATGAAAGTCACCCTCAGCACACCAGAAATGGCGACCACAGTACTTCAGTCTTGGAAGCTAAACAAGAAAAAAGGACCACCGGAACTGTGCCTGAGACCCTTGTTGAAGACTGTAGTACCGGAATTTTCTCTGTGTGATAAAGGTGCAAATGCACAATCGATTCCGGCTTCATGCTCCCCTCCACAATTGGGGGATCGGAGTGCCAGGGCTCCCTCCCCCAAAAGCCAATGTTAGCCGACCGTCACAGGGTCGGCAATGAATCTACTTCTCACCCAAAGGGACTTCTACACCAAAAACATTTGACCTGTTGCCACATTAATGCCCAAGGCTTCCGCAGTAAGTTCTCCGAACTGGTGTTGCGTTTCAAATCCAGTCAGTGGGATATCATTGCTGTCACAGAAGCTTGGTTGATGGATGACACTCTCGACTCTGAGTTGGACCTACCGGCCATGTCTCTTCTCAGACGCGATCGTCCAACACGCGGGGTGGTGTTCTACTTTACCATCGAAGCGATCTCCAGTGCGATGCAGTTGATCCTCCTGTTTCAGTCCCTGACACAATTTGGTGTAAACTGGAACTGTCGAAGCACGACGATTGTCTTGTTGGAGTGGTCTATCGTTCTCCCTCGTTCACGGAATCAGCACTTGTACGAGCTATGTCACAAGTCCTATCTGCAAAACTTAGCCATATTCTAATAGTGGGTGATTTCAATTGCCCGCATCTCAATCAAACTTTGACCTCCCATCTATCGTCAGCTTAAACAGTTAATCGACTCGCATCTATTGTACAACCACGTGAAGGAGCCCACAAGGTTTGGCAACCTGGAGATATCGTCGATGCTGGCTCTGGTGCTAACCAACGTAGAGCTTATGGTCGAATCCATCGATGTCTCGACCCTCCCCCCCTCTTAGGACGCAGTGACTATGCAGTATTGTTGTTCAAATATGTCTGCTACTCTTCGATATAAAGAACTCCGCAAAGCAATACACGTCTCGCCACGGACTATACTAGATTACAGCATTTGGCTCACTGCATTCAGTGAATCCTTCCTGGGGACGTAGGTGACCCAGTGGTCACCTGGCAAGCATATACACACAGACTTACAAACTTGATCGCCTCAGTTACTAAGGTTGTCAGAAAATCAGGGGTCCAAAACTCGCCGATTCGCAGCCGCACTAAGAAATGTATGTCTCTGCGCAATCGATCTTGACGAGAATACAATCGATTTCAAACTGACAGCATCTGGAATAAATATTGACAACTGCGAAACCATTGTACCCAATTGGTGCGGGAGGATAAGCTGAGGTACCAAGAAGTGCTCTCACGGAAGTTCATCTCCAGCCCATCACTACTATACAAACATGTCAATATGTCGAGGAAAGTAAAGTATGGGATACCCACACTCAGCTGTCTTGGGAAGGTCGCCAGCAGCACTCAGGAAGCAGCTGAGATGCTGAAAAACCAATATGCCCAAGTCTTCGACACACCTAACAACGCGAGACTGCGGCTGCCTCGTCGGATACTCTTTCTTCCAGATCCACCACTGACTACCTTCACGTTTGATGCTGACAGAGTGAAACCAAAGCTTCTGAATCTACGTAAGTATTCGGCTCCAAGTGCAAACAACCTACATCCCCAATGCTTATTGTGTTAGCGGATCACATCTGAGCCGCTAGCTTTTCTGTTCCAAAGGATGTTTGACGCAACCGTACTGCCCCAGTCGTGGAAACAAGGCATAATTTCTCCAATTTACAAAGGCGGCCGTCGTAGTGATCCTGCCAACTACCACCCGGTGACACTCCAACCCGTTCTATCCAAAGTTCTGTAATCCATCGTGGCGGATTTCTTGATGGAACACTTAGAGAAATACGACCTCGTTTCCCCAACACAGCATGGATTCCGTCGAAAGAGATCATGTACTACCAATCTGCTCCTGGCCCGCAATGAATGGACAAAGGCGATGCAGTTGATGTGGTTTACCTGGACTT